GAATGGAAAGACTAGTAAGGAGAGGGACTAGAGAAGAGGTGCCAGTTCTCCCTTTGGAAAAGGCCAGGTAAATCTATATAACTATGCACCCAAGCTCTCTCAGAAAGGACAGGTCTTTTAGCAGCCTTCTCTCCTGTACTCTCTGAAGGTACTGGAAAGAGATAATCAAGACCTGAGCTTATACAGGAGTGTACTCTAATGACTTGCCTGCTTTCTCTCTTCTCTGCTGGCATTCAAGTACAATGCTAAGAGTATTTCTCACATTCTTGCTTCTGAATATGCTGAGAATACTCTATAGTCCATTTCTAATGAATACTGCCCTGCCCCCCAAATTCTTTAGTATACTTGCCTAGCAGCAGCATTACCAAAAAAAATTCATTTTCTTCCTCCAGCACCCATATAGATACAATACAATGTGCAGAGATAGATAACCTTTCTCATGAGTCTCCTTGAATTTGCAGCTGTTCTGATGTCAACACCATTTCACACAAAGGTCTGAAATCATCATTGTATAAGCTCTGCAGGAAGAAAAAGAAATATGAACATGTGAGACAGTTGTACTGGCACCATCCTCTTACTGTGTTCTTGATGATGAGAATTTGTGCCTAATCCATAGATCAATCAACACACGAGTGGCTTAATGTCAGTGGCAAATTAATAACATATCTATAAGCAATAGAAGTGTTTTATAGCATTCTTTGGACTTGGACATTTTCAGACTTAAAAATGCATAGGAAACAAGTTGTTAATGCTAGCAATAAACAAGATAAGATTAAGAAAATCCCATTAGTAGTTCACAGATCAATAAATATTTTCTTGCCCGAGACTAAAAAACCATAAATGTTTCAGAATTTGATAAGCATGTAAGACTGATTTTATACCAAGAAGTTTTCAAAAAAGGAGGCCTATATTATTTCATGATTCAATAAAATGAGGAAGGTATTGAAACCTGAGTTTAGCATATACACACAGGAAAAATTGTGGTAAATCTCTCTTGGGATAGTCAGAAAAAAAACCTCTAATAAGCCAGCAATGCTGTACTATTTTATACCATCTTTCATCCCTATATTTCAGGTACTTCTAGGGGAAGAAAGTAATCAGGGTTTTTTTTAAGATAAAAATTTGTCTCTGCCACACAGTCTCATATAGCCTTAATTCTTAATCGTTTTAGTTCCCTTACCGTTTTCTGTAGCCTGTTTTGCAATGGAATGTGCCATTATATCTTAAAGTTTCAATTATCTCAGATCTATCTACCAAACTGTCTTCATGCCAGTTTCTTGACCTTCAGCTCTAGCCTTTGTCTGTTTCTTATTGAGAGTACCTTAAGGCCCAGTGCTATAATCCATTAAAAAAAAAGCAGGGGGGAGAGGAGAAGAGGGGGTTTTGTTTCCACCAAAAAGAGAGATTTGATATTTTCTAGAAGACTCTTTTTTTCCTTTTAATTTCTTTCCCTTTTTTCCCCTGGATTTACTACTATGGAAACCTGCTATTTCCAATTCAGCAGTCTCCCTCAAAAAAATAAAAAAAAAAGGTTACTATGCCATAGGATAACAGAAAAATAAGCTTGAAAAATCACTTTATTGCTAATTTAACTTTTTCTTTGGCCAAACCCCATCCTGCAGCGTCTTAACTCAAAGTACCACAACAGAAAGCAAATCTACAGAGATGCAACTGAGTTCATAAAAGCATTCCTGTACTCCAGTTTGCCATAAACCTTTATAGATACTTCAAACTAGCAATAATAAAAAAGAAAAAAAGCCAGCTGCAGTGATGAGGGCCCAGAACAACAAGATAGACTTTTCTGTGGAGTGTTTCAAACATAGTCCATTTGATTCACAAAGATTTTAGGAAGCACTACAGGCACTTTTGTTGGTACACATGTTAGAAGGATAACCCTGTCAGCAGAAAAACTCCAATGGCACATCTCATCTTTTCTGATCAATGATAGACAAAGGGATACTTTTACATTCACTGAGGTGGAAAGTGAGAAGTCACCTTTCTAAAGAGGGCTCTGCTGCGTCTTTCAAGGGACTTATTTACTTTAGAAACAGGCTTTTCTAGAGAGATTGGAAAGTAGCCTGCCTTTATGAGGCTAACCCCAGAGATCCACACAAGCATAGAATCATAGAAACATTTCAGTTGGAAAAGACCCTTAATGGCTATACATATAGTATATTGAAATATGCTAGACAAGTAGACCTGATCACAGGAGAGCACATAATAGCAGAGACTAAAGGGCACAAGAGCAATATTTTATACAAACAAAAATAATTCCACCACCAAAAATAATGGTAAAATAAATCACTATCCCTTCCCTAGAGAGAACAATTTGTTTTAAAAATCATCGAAATTAAAATCAGAATGAATTATGTGAAGTGCATCACTAGCAAAAAGAGAAGTATAGTGTTATACACAATTCTGCCCTTGTCTGCAGATTTTTCTTTATGCAATTAATTTTTCTTTATGCAATTAATTATACTCTTAACTTATATATGCACTGTTGCGGATGAGATTTTCTTTGTTGTCTTACTGCAAAAAGGGAGTTGCATTTCTTCTGAATTTAATACAATACAATAATTGGCTTCCCTGTTTTGTCTTGATGTAAGTCATGACAACATTAGGGCTGCTTTGTAAGGTGATTATTGGCCTTTTTTTACTGTTTTCATTTCAAAAATTTATGAACAAAATTAAACAACTGCCTTGATGGACTATTACATGTTTTTCTTAGCAGAAAGGACTAACTGTTATGATTTGTAAATTATAAAGTCTCACATCCATTTAATAAAAATGCAGGGCAAATTTAAGCAGAGAACATGTAGTCATAGATAGAAACTAGAGTGAATATTTATATGGTAAATAAATCTTATAGCACTAGAACTATACAGAGGCATAAGACACTACTAAATGAAGTGAGATGAAGATAGCAGTGCCATGTTCTTGTTCTGGGCTCCCCAGTATAAAAAAAAAAAGAGATGGAGTTATCAGACAGAATAAATCCAGTGAAGCCACAATGTGTTATTCATCTGCTTGTTTCTGATACTAATGACACCTGGCCAGCTCACACCAAGTGTACTGTAGAATAAAGTTCTTTCTTCAATTGATTTATGGACGTCAAGGAATGCTAGTTAATGCCCAGCTCTTGAAGAATTCATGTCTGTGAGTTAATCTGCCCAAATATTTTCTTCCTTTCTCCTACTGACCACATCGGATCAACAAGATACTCAAGTATTGGCAGGGCCAATCTACCGACTCTAGAAGGTAAAAACTATAACTGACTAAGTAAACTCAAGGGAGATCTGTTACATAAAACAATGCATGTAAAGAAAGAAAATATCTGTTATGGTTATCTTGCCTTTTACTTTGACAAAATTTTAAAGTGTGGTATAACTTGGAAGCAGAGAACATCTCTTTGATGTCTGGAGTAGCAATATTTCTTCTTGACAGAGAGGCTTATGATGCAAAGTGCACTGCTACAGTCCAATTTTATTACTTCACCATCAAAGGATCCCAATCATATATTTCCTGAACACTGCTGCCATTGGCTTCATGTTCCTTGTTGCACTGAATAAATAAAATCAAGAGAAAACAAAACTTTGCGTTCATACTTATACAGTACATGGACTCTGTGTGCTTCTGTCTCACTTTTCTGGTTGCTTAGCTTGAGAAACAAAGCAAAAAAGGAGAAAGGGTACTGAGATATGACTTGAAACAATTTTTTTTCTGTCAAAGCCTATTCTTTCCTATGGTTTGTTATTTTAGATTATGAATTTGGAGTAACAATTATGACTGACACTGTAGCAGTAGTAAGCAGTAAAATATGACACAGTGAGAAGATTCTTTTCAGTTTCTTCTTTCAATATAAAAATTCTTCTGTCTCAATGAAATGCAGTGTTCAATCCTACCAGGTTAGACCTGGTTCAAGCTTTGTGCCACATTTTTAATCTGAGTGCTCAGGGCCAATTTTTCTTCAGAATTACTCTAGTAACACTGACTGCACACAAGTGCAGTCAACATTTCTGAGATTTCTGCAGAAAAATACCTTGATCAACTGAAAAATACTACGTCAGCCAAAATTGCATGATACATATTCTTTGTGCCTAGGACTTACTGTACCTACCATGTCTGCAAGTTCTACCTATGGGGGGGAAGAAAAAGCCAGACCAGAAACTACTACTGAAACACAAAGCAGCACTAGGGAAGGGTGAGCTGACACCTTTGATCTCATGGCCCATATGCCCCAGCAGGAAGCATGAAGGCTACCTGAGCAAAGCCTGACACACACTGGTAGTTTGAACCCAAAGAAAGCACTGCAGCTACTCACAGAGCAGGTTTCATTCCAAAATACATGGTTTCCTTAAAAAAACCAATAAATCACCCCAGCTGAATTTGCAAGATCTTTGTTGATTTGGTTGGCTGTTCAGCTTTTTTTTACCCTAAACTGTCTCCCAGAGTCAGGTATGTAAAACTGAACATAGGCAATAAGAAGAGTATAATTTTGATTGTGATGCTCCAAGAGTAAATTCCACCGTGCATACATCATCTTTCATTTGATGTTTCCATAATTCTATCCATAGTGCTGCTTCCCCAACTGTCCAACCACAATATCATCCTACCCTGAAAGAACCATATGCCAGCACTACCTCAAAAAATAAAGTAGGAATTTCTTCTCTTTTCTTGCCATATGTAAATGCTCTTGAAGAACACTCACCTATTCCTGTCCTTTCATTTTGCCTCACCAGATTTTTATGGTCTCAATCAAGACAGATTTCTTCACTTCCTACCCAGTGATATTTTTCACCTGCTTGAAGAAATCCCTTCAATTTATCAATCTCTCTACTTTCATCTACTGTGCAGCAGGCACCAGTGTTTCTCCTTGCTCGTCCTAAATCTCCCAGGCTCATTAGTCGTCTTCTCCACCCTTGATCTTCATCTTCTTCACCTTTGTGATTGTCTTGCATGTGCTTTCTGATATCTGTGACTTTGTAAAAACCTTTTCCCTTAGCACTGCAGTACTTCTGCTTTCTTCTGTGACCATCTCTGCATGATCCTCTAACCCTGCAGTATTTCTTGTTATTGCTGTAAACTGCTCACCTTGTACTTTGCTTGCAGGCCTGCCTCCATTGGCTTCTGAGGAATCAGACTATTTCTTTTGTCCTTTCCTGATCAAGATGCTTTCTCTTTCCACTTTCCACTCCATGAGTCACCCTCCTTTTTTTTTCTTTTACACCTCTCCAACAGATTGATCCCACAGCTTTACTAAGAGAATTGATAGCTCCCTCTTCCCAGTTGGTGAAATCTAAGTGATCAAACTTCCCTGCTTTTCTCATCAGCTGTTGTTGTCACATGCAAGGAAGGTATTGCTCTTATAACTATTTCCAAACTTACAAAATTATACTTGGAGAGTGATAGCATTGCATTAAGCTGAAGAAACAAACATGTTTCACAGTTTTATGTTATATTTGTTCATGCTTTTAGGGTTGTAGCACTTTAGAAGCAACTGCAGAATATGATTTTCTTAGGTTGTTTACACTGCCATCAAGAACAAGCCTTACTGTAAGCTTTGAAGTTGGACATTTTTGCTTTACACACAGTAGTGGTCAGCATAAGCACTATTGAGGTGATATTACCCAGTCTGTCGCTCTTAACTCAGGACTAAAATGGTGAATCAATGCCTCTCAATATACTTTGACATCCTTCTTTAGAGAACAAAGGTTAGCAATGGGATTTCTGAAAAACAAACATTTATGCACATCAACCTGATGGGCTCCTAATTATTTTAATTTTTAAATTTTGTTACAAGGAGGGATACTTTATGGAACATAAACTCCCCTAACAAGATACAGAAAATATACCATTATTCAATATTTCTGGCTAAAATATTTTCAGCTGAGCTATGTGAAAAGACAAAAAATAATAAGGACAACTATTTTCAGACAACCTTTTCTCTTGTTGGCATCAATTGGTGGTAGACTTTGCCTTGCCCTGGATCAGGTCCCAGTTAGCTGGAAACAGTATGTGCATGCTCCAGCACTCAGGTGATGAAATGGTTTGTTAGCAGAGCACATGGTTTTGATTAGTGGTCTAATGAACTAATGCCTTAAATCAACAGGAAACGCAGCATCTGGTCATCACTTCATTGCTTCCTTAAGCCCCAGACACATCTTACTATCACCTCTGGCTCTCTTATGCTACCCCAGTGCCCAAGAATGTTAAGGAAGTAGCTTTTCTGAAGAAAAAAAAGAGTAGATATTAATATATTAATTACTACAAGCTAGACGCAGGAAAAGAAGTGTTGCTGCTTCCAATATTCTATGGATGAAGTTTCTGACAACTGAGACAAAAATCTTAGGCCTTGTCTAGTTTTCACCATCCAGTATTTTCTACAGCATGTTCTTTGAATAACTGACCAGATTTAATGATGCAAAACACATTTATTCATTCATAAATGTATTTTTCTCTAGTTGATACTGAATTTATACTGATATTAAGATGCTCTATCATATTGAGATGTTTCTGTCTGTGGCAAATACTTTTACTTGGTTTTTACAGAGTCCCCTGATCCCTACCCAAAATTCTCATTAATAGCGGTTCCATATTTCCACACAGCTTGTCAGTTTGATTATTTAAGTACTTATTCAGTGTACTAAAGACCCTAATCACCCCTTCAAAGCATGCAGCTCTATATAAGGCCTCCAATGTCTGAAATACATAAGGATCATCATCATCATAATAGCATGGCAGCTGTGCTTCCCATAAGCCAGAAAAGTTGATCCTGTACACAACAGACACACCTCAGCTACTGTGTGCCATCTGCCTAGTTAGCAGTTAGACAGCCATAGCACATAGAAACAGCTGCTCCTGACAATATGAAAAACATCAGTACTTCCTTAAAGGCTTTGGCAATGTGGATAAACAATTTCAGTGAAAAGAATATTTTAAATTGCTGCAAATTTTCGATGCAACTGCTATTATGCATCACACCACAACAAAGTGATTATGCTCAGTAGAATGGATTTTGTTCAGCAACTGTAAGAGTGTTGAGGGATTTTTTTGTTGCTCATGTTGCTTTTGGCTTTGCTTTTATCCCCCCTCAGTTTTACAGAATACCGGTTAAAAAGGCTAAAAGACTATTTTTCCCTGGACAAGGTTTCATGACATACTAAAATAATTTACTGTGATTTTTTTCCCATTTCATTCTTTCAAGTAAAACAATTTTACTTTCAGAAGTTCACTGTGGCCTTCATCTTGAACTATTTATTTATGCCATTTATGTAAAGACTGGATTTCCAAGAAACCTAAATACTGTGTCTGGTCTGCAGCAAAATTATGATTTATAATAAAGCAAAATAATGAACTACTTACAATTGTGGGTATAGGAGGGTGTTTGGGAGCGCAGAGAAGCAGCACAATCCTTGGTCTTGGCAGCTATGTGTTGTGAAAAGGTGAATTTTACAGCAAGCAAATGTTCAAATGCAACAGATGCATAGAAGGATGACAGGCTATAGAGGATGGATGAACACATGTGCACTACACACACCTTTCATGCCTACACAGTTTTTCTCTTCCCCTTTGTTACTCCTTGTGAATAAAGAGAAAAGCTCTAGGTGTCTGACTCTGGAATGAAGCTGCTTGTTCAAACTGGGAGCTCTGTGCCCCTTTGGAGGTCAGCTGGCTGCAGGCAGGAGGAGTGGAGGGTGGAACAGCTCTCTCTCACCTGCCTAACCACGCATAAGGGAGCTGACATTGCATGGTGCCTCTCACCACCTCCTTCCTGAGTGCTCACAGTCTGGAGATGGACTAGCAAATTACTATAAATAGGTACCAGCAGCGCAGAAGACAGGCATGGAAAGGGTTAGCAGTACAGACCCCACCTTAGAAATTGATAGGGAAATAAAACCTGTTTATAGAAAAACCCCAAAAGCTATCTGGAAACAATTGCCGTCTTATATTTTGTATAGATTAAGCTTTCTAGCTACCTCCAATAAGTGTGAGATTTATATTAGTTGTGAAAAGATCAGTAATGGGAGGCAAATTAATGAGAAACCTGCTGTCACATTACAGCATACGTTTTTAATGGACATTTTAAAATATTTGGACAAAATATCTATATATTTTTAAATGTGAATTCTTTAACTGGTAAATGTAATTAGCTAAACCTAAAGCAAAAAACATAAAGGGACAAAAATTGATTTAATCAAAATATTCTGTCACTGCCATACATAAGCCACCAGAATATCTTTTCAACAAATGAAATTATTCTTTATTTTATGCTTTTAAAAATGCATTAGTGTAATTGCTCTGCAACAAATTACCTTCTGTGCTATAACCGTGGCTACAACATCCCTCGCATGTACATCAATTGTGCATATTGTCATGATGTTCTGATGATCACCAGGGGTGAGTTCCCTTAACAGCATGTTTATAAGGGCATTCAGTTGAGCAATCTGCAAAATAATTATATTTCAATGGAGATATTACACTGTGGGGAAAAAAACCTATTATATGTCAAGTGCTAAATGGAGCAGTTATAGAACCAAGACACATTTATTGGTGCTTTTAATCAAAGCAAATAACTTCTGCAAACTAATAATGGTATTGTTTTCTTACAATTTTAATTTTACTCCTGAATTACAAAAATACACTTTTCTGCTGGTTCCCAGAACTATTTTAGAACAGATAAATACTAGTCTGATACTGCACTTGGAATGCTACTCTGTAACTGCACACGTGAGAAAGCTACTAGAGATGTTTAAAGTATCACACATGTACTTCAAAACTCTGCTTCCAAACCAGTCACAATATACTTTATGTTTACTACAGGAAATGCAGGGGCTGGGGAGGAGAGGGAAACAACAACTCTCTGGGGCCTGATTGCCTTGGTCATGATGGCTTCCTTGTGCCAGAGGAACATGAAAAGCAGGATCCCTGAACAGCTTCCTTCATCAGGCTGCTGTGTAATTCCCCATCCTGATAGGAATGGTGACACTGAGGAGGTGGCCCAGAGTGCCTGTCTTGGTGGCCCTAGAAGCCACTGGCAGTCATTATGAATTAGATTTATTCCCAGGAATCTGGACATCTTAATTTAAAAAGTGATGCTTCTGAACAAAAACAATAGGTTTTTTGGAATTTTTCTGGGGGGAGGGTGGAGGGAAGGGGACCCCAGAACAGTCCTTCTAAATAACACTTGCAATGAAATAACAGTAAGCATGTATATGCTTTTTAAATGATTGCAAGACAAATCTTTCTGACAGAGCCTGTCAAAGATATTTAGGCACGGATTTTGAAAAGCTGGTTCATGCAGAATCCCACCTTTGCAACAGGGATTTCTTTCATTTGTTTGCACTGATGAAAGAAAACACGCATCCTTAGTAGATTGATATAGTAGCAAGTAGCGTTATTTTTTCTAGAGATCACTAGATTTTGGCATTTACATTTTATAAGTCCATCTGTGAAACTTTAGTGGTTTATACCATAAGACTTATGCCTTTGTTTAAAATTACCATTTTTATACATTTTGTGCATAACAGGTTTGCATACCTACTTGGAATTACAGACTTTCAGATGATTTCCAACCATCCTTCTATAACCTTGAAGATTTCAACATCCTCAGCATAGTCTCAAATATCTAGCAAATAAATTCTTTTAACTGATTTAGTAGTTTATTTTCACATGTTGCTGCCACTTCAATAATTTTTTCTGAAAAAAATGTTGCAGAGTTCCTTCTAAATTCACCATTATTCTACCTAACACAAATACTACCTCCTCTAACATCTTAAAGGAGCAATTTTAAAAAAATCATTAGTAAGTGTGAATAACATCACAGACTCTGTCGTGGTGCTTCTGAAGATCTTCTTGCTGAACCTGTTTCCTGGCAAAATGCAAAACACACAGACCTGGAACCTGGGCAGGCCAGGTGACTACAGCTCAGCACCTGGGAGGACAGAACAACCTCTATCCTAACCCCAGGCTCTGAGCTACACGAGTTACACTGTGAAAGACCTCAGTCCTGTAAAACACACTGATCTGCCTGCTCAGAACACAGGTTTGTTATGAATAAAACCTTTGGTGTTCTGCTCTTTTCACCCAGTCTCCTTTGAATAAAAAGCCCTACTTCACACCTTATGTGAATTTACTGAGACAGATGAAAATAACTCATTTTTTATGCTTGTCTTCAATTGTGCCTTTCTCCCCAAGCTCTAACAATAGGATACAAAAGCTTGTGAATCCAAGAGAAAGAATTTCCATTAAATGGAACCCATATAGTTCCCTCAAAGGAGAAAAGATCTATAGAACAAAAAAAAGGAGTAAAATTCACCAAACTTAATTCTCTCCCAGTATACTGTTTATGCAGTAACACGGCTCGTGCACTCCACAACGTGCAGCACTGAATGAATTTTTAGCCTGCTTCCTACCAGTATGAAGAGAACAATTTTGGTGGCCTACATCCAAAGACACAGCAGTGGATCACTGTTCATATTACTCAGTGATTGCATATAATTTGGCATCACTGAAACAATCGCAGCTCTGAAAAGGTTGAGCTCTGGGCTATTATGAAGGCTAAATTAACTCTCATCACTTGAGTGAATGATCCATTCATACCAAGGTCAAAATCACTAGTTGAGCAGCAAAGGCAAGATGGCACTATTGCTGACTGACCTGCAGTTGCATATGGGTAAGACTTTATTATTCTCAGACAACCTGAATATTACTGAAAACATTAAAATAGTTACTTACTGTAGAAAATGTTTAAATCTCTGTGGATAAAGTAAAATCCAACCGGTCCTTCCCCTGCTCACTTTGCTCCTTGGGTTCAGACAGGAGTATGAGTGCTTTAAGTGACTGAATTTGCTGAGGTAGGAATCAAAGTTCAGGAGGAAATCAAGGTTAGACTTTTTTTGGTTTCCTCTTGTAGATCAGGCACTTGAGTGCATTAGCAAGACAAAGAGAACAGAGAAGTTGGTCAGCAGGTGCTAAAGGGAAACTAGGGTCTCTCAGAGAATACAACTTTCTTTTTCTCAAGGAAAAACAGTGGTCTTTTTATTAATTTTTCTTTCCTTCTTTATCCCCAAATTGGGCAGATCAAATATGAAATCTCCATGTCATAGAATAGTCTGACACTCTTTTTTCAGAATGAAAATTAATAGCTATATTAAAAAACTTGTTTCAGAACAAAATATTTTTAAAATAGTTGTCTGAAAAGACAAGCTTTCAACTTTTCAGTTAATATTAATTTCCAGCTTTTGAGTCAGTATTAATCTCTGCGCCCATCTTCACAGTCCTAAGTTCTGATCCTCCATGGCTCACATTCTCCAGGCAGCCCATGTTTCAGACCGCACGTTGCTGTGTGACTGCATTACAACCCATTATTGGTTGTATTATCCCATGGTTTGTCACGGGATACACAGCCCAGCAGAATTCAAGTTCCACTGGGGAGGAGTGGGAAATAAAAAGAACTAGCTGCAGTTCCCAGTATAGGCCCAAGGGAATCAACAGCATGAACTGTGGAGGTACTTGGTTACTGGGACCTCTGCCTTATGCCACACTACAGTAATGACTCAGCTGCTATTTTTGGTTGAAAATATATGGTTTCATTGCATTTTCTTGACAGGAAGTTTACCCAAAGTATCATTTTCCCACAGAAAACGTTAATGTCTTTTGGGTTTCTTTCACTTGTTTGTTTGGGGGTATTTTAAGGGGAAAAATTTCACTAATTTATTTTTCATCATCCAAACTTCCTGCTCCTCTTGGGAACCTAGGCTGCATGTCAGGCAATTCTGTCTAAACCTCAGTACACACTTGTTCTGGCTCCTAAGCCTAGGTGCCTATGGTTATGCTGGCCCCTCAAATCGGCTAAACGATTTCACTTCCAGTGTGTAAGGATACTTTTAGTTAGAAACATAAGTCTTTACATTCTGAGATTCCTAATTCGGCTTCAACAATCTTTCCATCATCTTTACATGAAATTACACTCCAGTGAGCCTCAAGGGGAGACAAAAAAAAATACAGACAGTAACCGTGCTTTGTACAATTAGCAAATGGTTCTGGGCTAACAGAACGGACAACAAAGACAGCCATTTTCCCTTGCATTCTCCTCAATGCTGCCTCATTGGCTATGACCTCAGGATCCACTGAGCTTCTCCATTAGATGTAACAGATAACATGGTCTGAACAGGGAGACTAAGGTCTGTAGAATTATTTGCTTCTTTTCTTTCAATTCAGCAGAACATCAGGCAAGGAAATACACTAGTCAGTAATCTGACCTGTCCTTTGCAAAACACAGGGCACTGAAGAGTACACATAACCACTGTTTATTCTACCAGGTTCTTATTGTCACCAAATTTAAGGTAACATTGCCAAATAACTTAAGTACTTTGCAATCTGTTGATAGATGTTGAAGAAACCTACAGTTAGAATAATTTTCATTTGGCTAAAAACAGTGACTAAAGAACACAACTACCTAGGATGAAAAGTTCCCCTGCTCCAAATGATTACCCTCAGAAATGATTTTCAGTAAAACAACTGCAGAGGAAGTGACATCATGGAGAAGAAGTGGAACTCCCACCTTCCCCAGGGATCATAGAATCCTTTTGGTAATAGCTCTTTTTAGAACTACTAGAATAGACATGTTAGAAATATTAGTTGTCATTGAAGGAAATTAAACCAAAGTAGAACAAAATGAATGGAACCAAATGGAGCCAAGTCATTCTTCTATTTTCTATACTGCAATCTTTCTATACAACCTTACTCTCTAAATAGATGTTTGACATCAGACAAAAGATGCTGTAAAAATGAAAGTATTTCCATTGTTTTAAGGTAATTTTCATTGGTATTTCTAAAGCATCATAAGCCTGAAATTCTAGTCTGCAAAACAGCTCTGTGTAGCAGAACGATTCCTGTTTTGCTGAAATACAAGTTGAACCATTTGAGCACATAGACACATCCAGTCACCCTTCAAAATAAGGAACAGTTGCTTCTGTTACATGCACATCTGAAGCATGCACATAACAAAGTGACTTTGTTGATAAATGATTCACCAGCGAGGACATCTTTTCTCCAGATGGATTAATATTATTTTTATCACAATATTTTCCAACTCGCTTATGCAAAATGTTTTTGGTCTGCCAATTTCTAAGTTCCTTGAACATTACATTGTCTTAATAAGATATTAAGGTTATAAAGAGGATTTGAAATTAACTCACTGTGCTGGTGACAGCAGACATGTAATTAGAAATTGAGTGTTTGTTTCCAAGAAAGGATATACCAACATTAAGAGCTCTGGCCAGGATTTAGGAGATTTGCTTTCACAAAAGCTCTGAAGGTGTCATTTAAAGAATCACAGAACTTTCAAATTCCCAGCTGTAAAGTAGAGCTAGTATCACTTTCCTATCCACAGGAGAGAATACATTTCTTATATTTAGAAAAATTAGGAGATATCAAGATATAC